TACAGCATAATTTCTTTGAAATCTCCAGAAAAGTGGAAAAACCAACATAAAAACAAATGATACAAACTATCCCGCATCTTAATTTTGTCTCTACCTTTGTTTATACACTTTCCAGACAGTCAGACAAAACTACAATTACAACCTCATGTAGTCAAGTATCAGAGGGGTAGCCGTGTTAGTCTGAATCTGTAAAAAGTAACAGAGGGTCCTGTGGCACCTTTAAGACTAACAGAAGTATTGGGAGCATAAGCTTTCGTGGGTAAGAACCTCACTTCTTCAGATGCAAGCAGTAGCCAGCACCATTCATCAAGCTGTAAAGTAAATAAGTTTGACAAGTGGACCACCAAATCTAACAGTGAACTTTCACGCTCCTCAAAGTGAACCCTTTTCTGTTGGCATTTCCCTTCAATACATATGAGTTTGTGAATTACCCTTTTCAGATGACATACAAACAATGCCAGAAAAGGACACAAAGTTCCTTAATTTGTACTGATGTCTAATTACAACAGATGGTTCAAATAAAAATGTAAATGTGCTCACTTATGACATGTCAGGTTAATGACCGATGAACTGTCCAAATCCAAAAGGGCTCAAATCCTTGCCAGCTGGGGAGAGTGCCTGAAATATAGGCATGAGGATGAGCAGCTTTTCTCCCTCAGCCAAGTCCTTAAAGTCTGAGCCTCAAACTTAGAATGTTTCCAGCTCTTAAAACATAGATATTTTAATATGCCTCTGGTGAATATAAGAGCATTTGCTATTAGTTTAACAAGCCATATCAGGAGCTACCAAATGCAGGAATAACTCAGGACATGGAATTTAGCACAGTGTGTCAAAGGTCAAGAGGGACACAAGCACTTTCATACAATGCCTCATAATCAACCAGCTAAGACTGCAAAGGGACAGAAGATGGAAGTGGACTTTGAGATAGTAAATGTCTGATTCTATTTCAAAGGTTACTACCAGACAGAGTGTTCCTGAACCCAAAGATTCAGCTGGATTATGCTCCCCAGAAGCTAACGTGTCTCCAACAAGCTTATTCCCTCATCATACAACACCTTGTGACACCAACTTACCAGGGGGTGGGCAGGCCCACTGGCCTTTTTTCTGACGCCCACTGTAATCCTACTCTCTTCCCAGTCCATGCACATCAGCTATAGCAGAAGCCAGAAATTATAATCCTGTCACTGCTGCTCCACTGTGAATCATTACTACAGTGAGACTGAGGAATTATGCTGATAGCTGGTAAGTGGGAAACTGGCTATTACCAGAGACTAGTGCAGATGTGTATGCTTATAGAGTCTGTATGAAGAAGAACCATGAAAGTCTACTATACCTACTGCTGGAGTATGGGCTGAGGGATTGTCCTCAAATCCCTTTCACCAAAAAATACAAGTTTGCGGGAGAGAATGTTACAATGGGCCTATAATTTAGAATGGGGGGAAGTGGATTAGACGGTCATTCCTCGAGGAGCCAGGAGGAGGCAGAGAATCACTATCACTAAAGATGTTAGGGGAGCAAAAGGCCATCAGGTGTATGCCTAAAACTGCTGCTAGAGGGGAATGGACCTCTCCAGGAACTCACTCGATTCTCTGTGCCTGACCCCATGCCATGGCCCCCTGAGGCCGACTATGCCTTTGTTTCCCTCAAACAGGGTTTGGCTTCTGCCCCCGCTTTAGGGCTGCCTGACTATTCTAAGTCTTTTACCCTTTTCTGCCATGAACAATCTGGGTGTGCACTTGGAGTTCTCACTCAGATGCACGGAGACAAGAACCGCCCAGTGGCTTATTTCTCTGCCACTTTGGACTCTGTTGCCCAAGGCTTGCCCCCCTGCCTGCGCGCTGTGGCTGCCACAGCGCGCCTAGTCAAAAAGTCTGAATCCCTTGTCCTCCACTCTCCTCTTACCCTCATGGTCTCTCACTCTGTGGAAACTCTCCTGCTACAACGTAACACAGGCCACCTCTCCTCCGCCCGCCTTACCAGGTACGAACTTTTACTGCTGTCGGCTTCGTATATCACCGTGAAGCGTTGTTCTCAGCTAAACCCTGCCATTCTCCTTCCTTTGTCTGATGATGGTGAACCCCACGACTGCGCCCCGGTAGAATGGGCGGTGACGATCGCCAGGGGCGGCACCTTTGCTTGATCATAGCAAAAGCAAATGCAGGCAGTGATCCAGGAAGAAATTCTCTGAGCAGAAATAGGTTGACCTTTCTTCCTGTCAGCCACAGCGACAAACAATTGCATCGACTTGCAGAATGGCTTGGTTCTTTCAATGCAGAAGGCCAGAGCCCTCCTGACGTCCAGGGCATATAGCCTGCGCTCCTCCTCCAACTTATGCGGCTTTGGAAAGAAGACCGGTAAAGTAAATGTCTTGGCTTGAATGAAACTGAGAGACCACCTTAGGAAGGAAGGCTGGGTGCGATCTTAGCTGGACCTTGTCCTTGTAGAAGACAGTGTAAGGTAGCTCTAAGGTGAGCGCCCAAATCTCAGATACTCGGCGGGCCAACGTGACCGCAACCATAAGAAACTTCAACCTTTTGAGAGACTTGTTGAGGCGGCAAAGGTCCAGGATAGGTCTGACGCCCCTTTTGCCTTCATAATGAGGAAGTATCCGGGTTAAAACCCTCTTTCTTCCATGTCCTGTAGAACCCCTAGGCTCATGAGGTTTTCTATCTCCTGAACAAGGAGTTGCTCGTGAGAAGGGTCCCTGAAGAGGGACGGCAAAGGGGGATGGAAGGGTTGGTCAGCTACAAACTGCAGGGTATAGCCTGATGAGACCATGTTGAGCACCCAGCAGTCTGAAGTGATATGGGACCAGGCCGACCGGAAAGGGCGGAGGCGGTTGAGGAAGATGGGAAGCAGTGACTGGGGTGTTGTCCTTGGGTGCACCCAAAAAATGACTGCTTCTGGCTACCGTGATCCCTAGAAGGACCAGGCTGAGCAGGAGGATGAGATGACAACTGATGGCATAGCTTAAAACCCAGGTCCTTGTTCTTCTTTTTGTAGGAGCTGGAACAAGGGGTACCCCAAGACCTTGACAACGGCAGAGGCAGCGGGGGGCGGAACGGCTTCCTGGCCTGCTGAGGAGTATGAAGGCCTAAGGAGCGGAGGGTGGCCTGGGAATCTTTAAGGCCGTGGAGCCCAGCATCAGTCAGATCCGAGAAGAGCCCTGTTCCCTCAAATGGGAGGTCCTGGAGGGCAGATTGCATCTCCTGGGACAGCCAAGAGATCTGTAACCAGGGAGCTATGCCACATGGCTATTGCAGAGGCGATTACCCTGGATGCCAAGTACGTGGCATCCCAGGCCATCTGGAGGACACCTACCGCCTTGCCCTGCTCTATAAGAGTGGTGATGCTCTCTTTGAACTTGCCGACAGTGTACCACAGGTTGAAATTGTACCTGCCAAGTAGGGCCTGATGGTTAAAGACTCTAAATTGGAGGCTCGCTGTGGAATAAATCATTCTGCCAAATAAATCTAGTCTCTTGGCGTCTTTATTTTGGGGGTGCCGCTCGCCTGACCCTGCCTGGTCCTTTTGTTGACAGCAGACACAACCAGGGACCCCGCAGGAGAGTGTGTGTATTGGTATTCAAACGGACATGGTACTTCTTTTATGCCTTCTTAGATGTGGGCGGAATGGAAGATTGGGTCTGCCACACCAACTTGGTGATCTTCAGGACCCCCAGGTGAACGGGCAATGCAACCCAGGCTGGGGCAGAGGAGGAAATGACACTGAAGAGGTCATCAGGCTCCTCAGCTAGCTCCTCGACTTCCAAGTTTAGGTTGGCCTCCATCCTTTTAAGGAGGGCTTGGTGCTGCCTGAAGTCATCGGGGGGGCTACCAGTTTCTAAATACAGCCCTCCTTGTCTGAGTCAGATAACACTCTTTCAGACATATCACTTGTCCCCACAAAACAATTAGAATCACTACCTGAAGTTTTCAGTTCTGGATAGTCATACAGAAGACATAGGCAGAAAGATCACAGGGGATGTGAAGACCTTTTGCTCTGTTTGTCATCCAGCTATAGTGAAAAAGCTTTCAGATGTACAAGGGATGTCAAAGTCTCCCCAAGCAATATGACCGGTATGGCAACAAGCAAAAACTTAAGTTCTCTTGCAAATTGTGAAAAAAGCAAAGCACTGAAATGTCCAGAGTTATGGACTCTAACTTTGAAGAGATGGAGTACTGTCTGCTTGTGTGGTTTAAGGATCTCAAATGAAGGTAATCCTGCCCTGAGAAGGCTAATGAAAGAAAAAAACAGGTAACTTGCTAGGCAGATATATGAGCTGCACTATAATTTTAAACTCTGGTTATCGTACTTCTGTCCATAAAGTTAAAATCATGGGGAACATAGACCAGCTTGGTTTTGTGCCTAAAATGAATATATGTTGTTATTATTATTATTATTATTATATTAAGCTTCTGCAGCACTTATCTTCATACTGCCTTACAAATATTAACTAATTAATCTCACAATGCCCCTGTGAAGTAGATAAGTACTATTATCCCCATACAGAGGAGAAACTGAAGCACAGAGAGCATCAGTATCAAAATTAAAAGAGGTGTCTCTGGCACCCAGTTTTTGCTCTGACTACTAACCACATTATTCTCTAATCATAAAATAATGACCTGTGTGCTATCAAGATTTACAATGCTGACCATCTGGTAATGCTAGCACAGAGGACTTAGGAGGCGATAGCCAAGATGTACAAACAAATGCAAAACAACTTGACATTTTTAATTTTTGCCAATGCAGCTGATTCCTATAGAGTAAAACGTTTTGGTGTTTAAACTACATTAACATGTCTGCCATTTCTTTATAATACAGTCACTGTGTAAACAGCTAGATGTCAGAAACCTTTTTTTCCTTTTTTTTTAAACTGATTAATGTAAGAAAAACTTTGCCCTCTTTCAAAGCTTTCTTTGTCAACGTGTTCCTGCTTGTCAAACTCATTCTGCCCACACAATAATCACGCCTATGAAAACATGAGGTGATGAAATTACTGATTCTCCTTCTTCAAAACTGTATTCACCATACAGATCAAGTTGTAGTTTCTTCCCTGAAACATATCATTAAGAAAACATACTGCACAAACTTTTGGAACCATCACTCCTGATCAGTTATTCTGTGAAAGGTTCACGCTGGAAGGTGTTGGGCACAGTTCAGCTTTTTATTTGAATGAGATGAGTTATGATAGTGTGGCAAAGTGTCAGGTGCACTTTTTATAAAAGGTATTTCTGAACAAAGAAATGAAGAAACAGAAACAACAAATGATACAGAAAGCAATGTGCAGGAGAGGGAGTTGGAAAGGAGGGGTGAAAGACTCAGAATGACAGAAAACCTGCATGAGACGACTGGAAGCTGGCTTTGAGTTGATAAAAAGGTTCATACTAGTGAAACTATGATAGATGAGGAAAATTGTTCCAGTAATCACACAACCTAATGAACCTGAGAGTGGGCAAACCAATGAACTAGGGGAAGTAAAGGAGCTAGCACAATCAAAAATTGTAGCTATCCTTAGCCTGGAAACAACTCTTCTGTGCCTAGAATACAGAACATAAACTACAAAAAGTCTATATACGTCTTTGCAAACAAAATCCCAAACAGAGAAAGTGTGTGTGTGAGAGAGAGAGATTTTTTAAAAAGCACAACCACCAATTTTTTTTAAAAGGATCTCTATCAGCATTCCCTGAGTTCTCAAAAAATTATTTTGATCTCAGAAACAGATCAAGTCTCAATTCCAATAGAGACCACATCTCCCTCTCCATCTATGAACCACCAAAGACAGTTGTTGTCCTCTGAAACAGCACAGATCACAAGGCCAGAATGAAGTGTGTAAAAGCTAGGGACAAAGTATTCTCATTCAAGGAGATCTGGCCAAGGAACAAACTGCCAGAGATTAGATTATTTCAGCGTCTGATCATCTTTAGGAAATATTGCAAAACCTTCCTATTTGATAAAGCTTTTCCATCATAACCAGAATGACATTCTGTACATCAACTATCTCTAGTATCTAAAGGGAGAAGAAATTCCACAATGTCTGTAAAGGAACTTCACTAAGCAATCTATTTTACATGGAAGGCACTCAGGTTCCACGGTGATGGGTGGCGCTACACCACTGATATAAGGAAACACAACCCAGCTGATATAAGGAAAATATGAGGGTCCCTGTAAATGCCTTTTATACGCCAGAAAGACTTTCCTACTAGGAACACAAGTATTCCCTTATCCAGGAGTGCAGCAGTGGACTCAGTGCTCTCCTGTGAAAACAGGTGCAGGATTAGAGGAATTAGGGAGTGCACTGTTCAGGAAGGACATGCAGGGGAGAAATGGTGGAGGAGTTGCACTGTATGTAAGAGAGCAGTATGGTTGCTCAGAGCTCCAGTATGAAACTGGAGAAAAGCCTGCTGAGAATCTTTGGGTTAAGTTTAGAGGCGAGAGCAACAAAGGTGATGTCACAGTAGACATCTGCTATAGACCACCAAACCAGGAGGATGAGGTAGAGGAGGCTTTCTTAGGACAACTAACAGAAGTTTCCAGATCACAGGCCCTGGTTCTCATGCGTGACTTCAATCACCCTCACATCTGCTGAGAGAGCAATACAGCAGTGCACAAACAATCCAGGAAGTTTTTGGAGAGTGTTGGGGACAACGTCCTGGTGCAAGTGCTGGAGGAACCAACTAGGGGCCGTGCTCTTCTTCATCTGCTGCTCACAAACAGGGAAGAATTGGTAGGGAAAGTAGAAGTAGGTGGCAACCTGGGCAGCAGTGATCATGAGATGGTCTAGTTCACGATCCTGACAAAAGGAAGAATGGAGAGCAGCAGAATACGGACCCTGGATTTCAGAAAAGCAGACTTTGATTCCCTCAGGAAACTGATGGGCAGGATCCCCTGGGAAGCAAATATGAGGGAAAAAGGAGTCCAGGAGAGCTGGCTGTATTTTAAAGAAGCCTTATTGAGGGCACAGGAACAAACCATCCCGATGTGCAGAAAGAATAGCAAATATGGCAGGTAACCAGCTTGGCTTAACAGAGAAATCTTCTGTGAGCTTAAACACGAAAAGGAAGCTTACAAGAAGTGGAAACTTGGACAGATGACTAGGGAGGAGTATAAAAATATTGCTCGAGCATGCTGGGGTGTAATCAGGAAGGCCAAAGCACAATTGGAGTTGCAGCTAGCAAGGGATGTGAAGGGTAACAAAGAAGGGTTTCTACAGGTATGTTAGCAACAAGAAGAAGGTCAGGAAAAGTGTGGAAGCCTTACTGAATGGGGGAGGCAACCTAGTGACAGATGATGTGGAAAAAGCTGAAGTACTCAATGCTTTTTTTTGCCTCGGTCTTCACAGACGAGGTCAGCTCCCAGACTGCTGCACTGGACAGCACAGTATGAGGAGGAGGTGAGCAGCCCTCAGTGGTGAAAGAACAGGTTGAGGACTATTTAGAAAAGCTGGAGGTGCACAAGTCTATGGGGCCGGATCTAATGCATCCGAAGGTGTTGAGAGAGTTGGCTGATGTGATTGCAGAGCCATTGGCCATTATATTTTAAAATTCTTGGCGATCGGGGGAGGTCTCGGACGGTTGGAAAAAGGCACATATAGTGCCCATCTTTAAAAAAGGGAAGAAGGAGAATCCGGGGAACTACAAGCCAGTCAGCCTCACCTCAGTCCTTGGAAAAATCATGGAACAGGTCCTCAAGGAATCCATTTTGAAGCACTTGCAGGAAAGGAAGGTGATCCGGAACAGCCAACATAGATTCACCATGGGCAACTCATGCCTGACCAACCTGATTGCCTTCTATGATGCGATAATTGGCTCTGTGGATATGGGGAAAACGGTTGACGTGATATACCTAAATCGTCTGACTCAACGGGCAGTGATCAACGGCTCGACGTCTAGTTGGTAGCCGGTATCAAGCGGAGTGCCCCAGGGGTCGGTCCTGGGGATGGTTTTGTTCAACATCTTTATTAATGATCTGGATGATGGGATGGATTGCACCCTCAGCAAGTTTGCAATGACACTAAGCTGGGAGGATAGGTAGATACACCGGAGGGTAGGGATAGGGTCCATAGTGACCTAGACAAATTGGAGGATTGCGCCAAATGAAATCTGGTGAGGTTCAACAAGGACAAGTGCAGATTCCTGCACTTAGGACGGAAGAATCCCATGCACTGCTATAGGCTGGGGAACGACTGGCTAAGCGGCAGTTCTGCAGAAAAGGACCTGGGGATTACAGTGGATGAGAAGCTGGATATGAGTCAACAGTGTGCCCTTGTTGCCAAGAAGGCTAATGGCATATTGGGCTGCATTAGTAGGAGCACTGCCAGCAGATCGAGGGAAGTGATTATTCCCCTCTATTCGGCACTGATGAGGTCACATCTGGAGTACTGCGTCCAGTTTTGGGGACCCCCACTACAGAAAGGATGTGGACAAATTGGAGAGAGTCCAGCAGAGGACAATTAAAATGATTAGGGGGCTGGAACACATGACTTATGAGGAGAGGCTATGGGAACTCAGGTTATTTAGTCTGCAGAAGAGAAGACTGAGGGGGGATTTGATAGCTGCTTTCAACTACCTGAAGGGGGGTTCCAAAGAGGAAGGAGCTAGGCTGTTCTCAGTGGTGGCAGATGACAGAATAAGGAGCAATGGTCTCAAGTTGCAGTGGGGGAGGTCCAGGTTGGATATTAGGAAAACCTATTTCATTAGGCGGGTGGTGAAGCACTAGAATGGGTTACCTAGGGAAGTGGTGGAATCTCCATCCTTAGAGGTTTTTAAGGCCCGGCTGGACAAAGCCCTGGCTGGGATGATTTAGTTGGGGATGGTCCTGCTTTGAGCAGGGGGTTGGACTACATGACCTCCTGAGGTCTCTTCCAACCCTAATTTTCTATGATTCTAACCTCCAAAGGGTCTGTGCCTTTTCTAAGCTTTCTCTCTCTTCCTCCCTCAGACATCTTACCTGTGAAATAGAAGATTTTCATAATACTAAATCAAGATGAAATAACCAGATCTGAGAATCACATGGAACTCTTCATGTAGAAATCTTTTGAATACAACATAAACAGAGGAACTTCTTCCTACATAATGAGAAATATCAACTCTAAGACTGTCAATTTTCCTTTTAGCAAACATTTCAATAAATTCTCTGTCAGTACCAAAATACAGTATATCACAACTGGAGGAGTCAGAGGGTGCTGGTGTGCACTACCTCTGTCTGTAGAAAAGTGCCTCAATGCCACATACTAACTCACTGCACACACAGCTAGCGGAGACTGGTGTAGGTGGAGCTCACACTTCTTTTGGAGAAATGCAACAACACCATTGCATATTTTAACCCTGAATGACTTAACAGTGTCTGCCTTAATACATGAAAAGTATTAAAAAGTGTAATTCATCTTTCTTGCAGACCCATGGAATCACCTGACTTCTGTTTGTTCCCAGATATCTTTAAACAAAAAGAGGATTTGAAATAGATTAAATTCTTCTCTAGATTCTCCCACATGTTTATATCACACTGAACTGCTCAAAGGATTATTTTAATATGCATAGTGGATCAGTGACCAGAGACAAAATGGCTTCTGATCATGTTAGCCGAATCCTCTGCAAAACAAAATGTAAGGTGCTACTCTGTACTGAGCTAAAAGAACAGGAGTACTTGTGGCACCTTAGAGACTAACAAATTTATTTGAGCATAAGCTTTAGTTTCCCTGAAGTTAAAACAGTGCCTCTTGTGTCTATCACTTTACCAAATAATATCTTCCATTTAAAATTAAACATAGTGATTATATCTGTAAGAAACAGTAGGTCCAGAAATTAAAGCAAGGTAAGCAACACAAATGTCTGTTTGTTTTAATACATTTCAAATATTCTTGAGAGAATTTTCATGAGAAAGCTCTGCTTTGGAACACCTTTATTGATTTTATGCAAATCCATGTAAATAAGAATTGCTATATTTTAGAATCAAAGATGTTTCTAGTCTGAAGGCTAGGAAAGAAAATACACAGGAGCATAACCCACAATGTTCTTGCCAACATTAATAATAGCCAAGAGTAAAGACACAATTGGAGGGTGTAGAGGGCCTTATTCTCTTCTCATTACTCTCGGGATTACACTGATTTCAGTGGAAGCTGCTCCTGATTTACAATGACATCAGTGAGAGGAAAATTAAACTCATCTAATTCAGAAAGAATTAGAAACCAGTTCTCTCCTCCCACTGTTATAAAAGAAATCACTTATAGTATCTAAAAACAAGTTTGAAAAGAAGAACCTTTATGATCTCCCCTTCCTTTAATCTGTAATTTTAAAAACTTCTTAAGATTTTTGTATGAAAGACAAATACAAAGGTAAGAAGCAGGCTTCATCTACAATATATGGTATGAACTTTTATTTGCTGTAAGATTAAAGATGGAACCATATCCAAACACTCCTAAACATCTTCCGATTCAGAACCCTCATCTGGGATTTGGGATCCAAGGCAAAATGAAAATTCATGGAGCAGGTTCATGCTTCCAGGTTCCAAAATCGCCCCACTTTCCGTTCCAATCAAATCCACATTATGCTCCCCTGCCTCCCACAATAGAGATGGTCTTGTCTTCTTCTCCATTTCTCCTTCTGATCAGCCCAGATTCCAGCCCCACCCTTTATTTATTATTCATCTATCATCAAGACTCTTCAGCAAGGGGAGCTTGTAGTCTTGCTATAGAATTCAGATTTTTATCCTTTTACCCTTGGTTCTAGTTCCAGACATGAATATCCCCTATCTTGATCCATCTCCATTCTCTTCCACAAAACTCCCACTGACTTCCTTTGGAGCAGGATTGGTGAATGCATTTGAAGTCCCACTGAAATTAGAAAGATGTTGCAAACTCCTCTTTCATCTCTCTCCGTAATGTATGTATATATTCAATTTTGGCACAGGAGCCAAGAAGTAAAGCATTTTAATAAGCAGACTGAGCCTGTTATAGCCAAAAACTATTCCTTAATTAATTCAGTTTTAATTTGTTTACCTGAAATCAAAATGGTTTGTAATTCAGCCAGGATTTAGATCCAATGGTTGCTGTTACAATTTGCAATCAACAATAAAAGTTACAGTGTTGCAAACTAACAAGTTAGGGCCAAAACTGAAGCTGTTTATTATAGGCATGGCCGGTAGCATGACCTATTATTAAGGATGCCTGCCACGTCCCATGATAAGACCCTGTTTTCAGTTGCTTACAATTTTGCAAAAACTTTAACTGCTTGAACTACTGAAATTTTCCATGTTGGTCATCTGACTCAGGCTGAATTCCCCCCCCTCCTCCCCCCCCACAAATTCAGTCAAAATGGTCCAGCTGTTTCCAAGACCAAGGATAGGGGGAAATCCATTGTTTTGCCCATGTTAAAAATTCTTGAGACCTTTTCTTTGAAAAGCATTTTAGCTGCTATGTTTTTTCTCGGACTCAAGATCTCTACCACCTCACCTTTTCTTTCTCATCTTTCCATTTCTCCCTCAACTCTATGTTTCCCCTCTCACTTCCCTTAAGATTTATACTCTTCTTTCTCTTTTCTCTATATCCTTCTCCAATCTTCCTCTTCTCCCCAGAGTCCTCCAGTTCCTCCAGCACCATTCTCTCCTTCTTCTCAGGGCCCTCTCTATCCGAGTTTTACCATTGGTTATAATGAGGCAATTCCAACTAGCATTAGTTGTGTGCATGGACCAAAGACCATATTATGACCACAGTTTGACTTTTAATCTCTGTTTAGCTGTTGAAAGACAAAAATCAATACTAAAAGTGAATGACCATTATACCAACAATTCCCAAGACGGTTCTGTCATGGATCCATGGGATCTATGCTATGCCCCAGCTTTTAAACAGTTACTCAGATGAACCCCTTCAGTTTGCCAGACCCTCTAGGGGTCCCACTCTGCCTTAAGAGTAGATAATGTGGCCTCAACACCTCCGAGACAGAACCGCAGGGCTCCAGCACTCCTGTTCCACACTGTGAGCTCTACCCAGCAATTCCAACTGAGACAGACTTCTGGTCAGAGACTTTTATACTCTTCAGGGACCAGTGTAGCTCAGCAAGTGAAGTGACACCAGAGAGTCTTTTCAAAACAGAGTAGGGTTTATTAGTCAACTGGAACACAGCATCAGAAAGTCCTTAGGTTAGCATAGAGAAATAAAGGTTAAGAAATAGTCCATTCTGGCCAAGACAGCGTTTCACCCTGCCAAGCTGCCATGGAATCCATTTTGGCTGTCTCCCCCTGCATGGACGGCAGGTAATGGAGGCTGGGGGAGGCTAAGCCTTCCTATACCTCCCCTAATGCTTGCCACTGCAGCTCTGGGGCCGGGCTATGGCGAAGCTCAGTGCTCCTCTGGCGGCCTGAGCTGAGGGCTTGGCACTGGCTGGTTGGGCTGCTCCAGATGCCAGCCGGCGGGCCGGCCGGGGTTCGGAGGTGCTCCGGGCGCCAGCAGGCCGTCCTGGGTTCGGGGCTGTGGCAGCGGGCTGCCCAGCGAGAGGGGGAAGGTGAGAGTGGAGTGGGGGCAGGGTCTCAGGTGGAAGAGGCGGGGTAGGGGGTCTAGCCTCACCGAAAGGGGGAGGTGCATGCAGCACCCATGTCCCCCTGTCTCTTTGTCAGTCCAAGGTGAGAGCTGCTCTGTCTCTCCCAAAAGCTAACTCTTTTCCCAGCCACATGTCACCCTTTGGTCCACTGTCCAAAACCTGCATACGTATGTATGTTCTGCCTACCAGAAAGTTCCATGGATAAGTGTAAATTGTTCAATCATTGCGGCTCCCATTATCTTTGCAGATCCTTGATTCTTATGGGTCAGTTTCAGCCAGTCCTTTAAGGGCCCAGACAGTTGGATTACTCCCCAGACAGTGACCAACACCTCATGTTTCCTGCTCTGCCCCAAGAAAAGCTTTTAAACCCCTTTTCACCCACTGGAGACCAATGCAAAGTAGAGAGGGAAACTGAGACAAACACAGGAATCAAAAATATTCTAGAAAATTTCCACTCTGTCACAGGTTATAATGAGATTCAGTATTTCCAGTGATGTCACTGAGTCTTTATGCCACATAATGAACTATCACAACAGAATACATTCAGTTGTGAGGCATATACCAGAGCTATGGTAATAGGGCAACATTTGCATAATCAAATTGACTCTAAGGATCCGTTTTAGAATTGACCTAACAGTACTACTCATTGCTGAAAACCAGAGATGTCCATACTGATATAACAATATGTCACTTTATCCTTTGCAACAAATAATACCTTCAGCATGATTCAGATATCTAAATGCAAATATTTGCTCTCGTATCATATAGATTCTGGGGTCCATAAACTCATGATTGGATTACGCTGATCCATTAATGCAGTATTCCATCTGTGAAATATAATCCAGATTTCATATCCTCCATTTTCTGTAACTTTTTAAGAACACCGTGTTAGAGAACACATCAGAATGGAAGATGCTTACAAAGAATGATGCAATACAATTGTTTCAGGTACATATGGTTGACTATATTTATTTTGCACTCTGAATACACAGAGTCAGGTTATGAAAAGAACTAACCATTTTTCTTTATGGTTGAGGCTCACACAAATGGAGAGGGCTATCATATCCTTCACAATTCAGTGGCCCCAGGATCTCATGCAAGTGGCATAAAGGGGCTGTGGATACTATTTTACTCAATAGACAATAAAGGAGAATGGACCCATATATTAGCATTGCATCATGGGTCTGTACTGAAGAGTGGATTTAATCTTCCCAGCCACTTCAAATTCTGCCCACATAGGGCAAAACTCCATTGACAAATGATTCAATGGAGGTATGTGAATTTACACCAGCCGAGAAACTAGTCAGCAAACCACAAATACTTTGTCTTTTATGCAGATGTTGGGAATTTTAGTCCAGAGTAGTAACTCATTAATTGACTCCAGTGACTGTTAACTGGGAGACTCATTATGAATTTATGAATTAGTAAATGAAACAGATACAGTTACAAAAGCTTCACACTAATATTAAAATATTTCCTTAGAGGTAGGAAGAAGCCAGTAACCCTGTGTGAATTATAAAGTTTGCAGATTAGAGAAGTTTTACTCTATATTGCATTTTGTAGTAATTTTTTATGAATTCTAAAGAGTTGTTAAGGACTTGAATTATCTTTTATTTTAATAACAAATGAAGCCTCAGATTTCTCTCCTAAGAAATGCTAATGTGGGCTATCAAATATTATTTATCAGAGCATATCTACTCTATTATTAACTATCTTACTGTTGTAACAGTTAACAGCTGAACACTGGTTATTATCTAAATAATGCTGAAACTCCAGGGCCCCAACAGAATCCTAAACCATATTAATTGATGGAGAATTCTGAAAATATGTGCAAAGGTCATATAAACTTTGTTGAGGATTCTCCTTTAATTAATGGAGACTGAGCAGCACATCGATTCTTTTTCTGGTAATGCTATTCACAGTCTCTGAGATGGTAAATGCTAATGAAAATATAACAATGACAAAGACACGCACTGAGTATCTGAAAACTATGCCAAAGACATATAACGGCCCAAACTCCAGATTTACTCTGATGAACAGTAACCGGATGGCCTGAAACAGCAAAACACTTAAGCACAACCCTAACTTGAAATGGGACTACTTATATGCTTAAAGGTAAGCATGTATTAAGTGTTTCACTGGATCAGGGCAAATAGCAGAATTTGGCTAACTGAGTTCAGTACTTCCCTCAGTTACTTCTGTGTAACTTAAGTGAAATGAGTGAGGTGACACAGGTGTGACTGATGGCAGAATTTGGCCAGTACTAGGAAAGTTAGGCTCAGTTCTTCCCCCCGTTGCACCTATGCAATCCCATTAACTTCTAGAGTCTTGTGGGGGATAGGAGAGAGAAATAGGCTAAATATGTAAACCTTTCTACACCCAACTTCCATTAAAATACCAGGATATACACCTTCACATTTTTAAAACCACCTTTACCAAACAAGGACACTTCATCAAAGAAGCAGCTTACATCACGGAATGGGTCACCCAAATACCTGGAGAGAGATCTTGCTTCAATACAGAAATAAAAACCCCTCTGACCACAAACCTAGCACCCCACACTGGAACCCATACAGGGAATCAAACAACTATAACCCCATATTCGATGGGAATCCCAGCCTGAAAGAAATCTTGCCTGAACCCTTCTTCCAGCTGTCAAACAAACCTCCGGCCTCTCCAAGCTCATTATCAGAGGAAAGCTCCCCACAGACCAGGACACACCAACTCAAAGCGGCACCAGACCCTGCCAGAACAATAGATACAAATCCTGAAGACATATCACCACTGCTACTATGCTCAATACCCCCCACAACACACCTTTCAAGATCCCTGGATTCTACACATGCCTATTACAACATGTAGTATACCTCATCCAGTGCACTAAATGCCCCAATAACAACTATGTGGGTGAAACCAGAGAATCACTATGCTCTCGAATGAACTCATACAGGAAAATAATAAAAGGCAAAAGCACCTCATCATCTGTGCGTGAATGCTTTCACAAAGTGATAATTTTATATGTGGCCTATCAGTCCTCACCTCAAAGGAAACCTGCACAACACTTTCAAAAGACAAGCCTGGGATCTTAAATTCATAACTCTGCTAGTCATTAAAAATCATGGACTGATCAGAGATACTGGATTCATGGCTTTTTACAACAATCTGTAACCCTCTCTTTTTGTCCTATGATTGCAGAGATGTTAATGGGCCACTCTACCTTCACTGGTCCCTTACAGTATGTGCTAATTACTTATGCTAAATAATCTGTTCCACCATGCATTTTGGTGTGAGGCTGGAAGTACCTTTACCAGACATGAAGAAGAGCTCTTTATGGCTCAATAGCTTGTCTCTCTCATCCACAGAAGTTGGTCCAATAAAAGATATTACCTCACTCACCTTGTCTCTCATTAAAATATCAGTCAGTAGCAAGACAAATGTTTGCATTATATTCAGGTCTTAAGAAACCTGAATTGACCCACTATTACAGCTATAAACTGACCTATCGAGGACAGCAGTAACACAGATATGCCCAATGTTAATACACTTGGCAGTTATGACCAACCGATCTCAAAACAGAAATAGCTGAGTAGGAAAGTCCTGACATCATTGTGGGCCAATCAGTATTCACCCTACAGCTTAAAATGTCATTCACTTTCTAGAACTATGTCTAAATAATCATAAGTCCATTGAAATCACCAGATACTGAAATCAGCTTGAAGTTTACTAGTCGTAACAGACTTTCACCATGGCAACCACTGATCCCAGCCAACTGTGTTGTAATTCTAGAATCCAGTATAATCAACTAATCTAATAAGAAACTTAGAAATACTGCAGGCAGAACAGTTTGTGTTTTATACCTATTTGAACCTTTAATGCATTTCAGCTAGATACCAAAATTGATACTTAGAAATATTAGAATAAGATGTAATGCTAATCCAATTCATTCCCCAAAATGAAATGAAATAAAATTTGGCAACACATTCTAACTGATCTAATGAATACAGAATGAAATACTGTGATTGTACCAATGTAATATATGCCTATCTCCAAGATGGCACAGGAA